TGGAATAAAATAAACCACTTAAGAGAAGTGTGCAAAAATGTAGAAGCTAATTTTGCAAAACATTTACATTCAGTTTATGGACCAAATTTATTGACCAAGTTAATTTAATTAATAATCTATTTATATAAAACTATTGTCAATGCACTGGGTTTTAATTGGTTAAATGCCTTTACTGTAATAATACAAATTATTTAAAAAATACCAGACACACTTCCAGCTGCCAGTTGGTGGCGCTATAACTTTGACTCACAATAGTCACATCCATCTGATCGGCCTCTTACAACGAAAACTACTGAAGTTTCATCAAGATCAGTTAATGTATGCAGAAGTAATAACACTTCGTGTTTCCTCGCCATGACCAAACTGTTCAAGATATCAAAAATCCCCTGGTAATTTTGCATCCTCAATGTCTTGACTTCATGCTGACCGAGTTTGTTGGATCCAATCTCTAGGAGGAGTATATTAAATTCCAAAGCATGTGTTTTTCAAACAACCCATAATGAACAGCCGAATTTCTGTTGGGCTTGCGTAAAACTTGACCAAGTTTTTCGGCCCGATGAGATCTATACTAAGTTTTAAATTATTTCATGGAGGAGTGTTTGATCTATGGACCAAGTTTTCAGGACCCTGTTCAAAGGGGCGCTGTTGAGCCACTCTGCCACACCTGGGTACCAGCTTCAGAACGTGCTGATGACGTATGATTGCTTGAGAAGGGTTGCGCCTGTGACGTCACCCATAGACTCTCTGAAGAACGGGTCTGAGGCTGTTTATGGGGGGTATGGGCGGCGCCATACTGGAAAATCTGGGAAGTAAAATACAAATGTTCAGAAAGGATACAGAGGTGGTATGATGTGTTGTGCTGTCAATCAAAGTTAACCTCCCTTATTTGTCATACATTTTATATCTAAATATGATCTAAACTAAGGAGTTAGAAAAAATATCACCCCCCTCAAAGTTGTCAGGCATGCGGAACATATTGAAGATTACAATAAAAGTCCATGGGACCAAACTGTAAACATATGAATTTATGCTGTGAAAACGGATATTTTAACATGACATCTATGGATATGCTCCCTTTTGGGACCGGCCTCTAGCGGATTTCAGATGTATTGCAGTTTTTCGCACTTCCGGATAGGCTTCAGCTTTCAGATTAGAATGTTGCCGCTTGGTTGCACAGCGATTATTTTTTGGTTCTGATATGTACTTTTTTTGTATATTTAGATGACTTCTATAATTGGTTGTTGTTATCATCAGGATCCATGTGAAGAGAGTTTCAACCAGTATAACAAAAGTGTTTATGAAAAACAATGCCTAACCTATCTTTAAGGATGTGGTAAAGCACTCTTTCTGTAGATGAACATTTCTTAAATGGAGAACTAATACATGTAGAAAAGTCGGCCTTGTGGTTTTCAGTTGTGGGCACCTTTAGTTCTTCAGTCTCCCCCAGAGCCATAATAGCTTTATAACGTGTGTTGCTCCACTCACACAGTCTCTAAGACCATTGGTAAAATCAATGACTCTCAATTATTCAACAACTGACATACACATTTCATCGCTACAGTTTAGGCCACTCCCACTAACAATGTATTATGTGACATCGAAATTTGTGGGATGGTACATTTGGTTACATAGCCTACACATTGCTAAAATAATTAAAATAGCTTGTAATGTTGTTGTTATAATATTGTAATAACAATTTGAATGGCCACTTGCATCATCTTTGGGTTTTTATATAAAAGGAAGAAAACAACCAAGATGTTGATTATGAATTATAACTTATACCCATGAACCTAATTTAAATGGTCAAACATCACTGTGAGTTGCATATTGTTTGTCAGTATAAAGTGAATTCACCACTTCGTTGTTTGGCTTTTTTTTTTTTTTTTTTTTGCTATGTGATGAGTAATTTTAATGACAGACTTAATATAAATTGTTGTAATTAGATCTGGTGAGACAATTTCTGATAAAAATAATATAATGGCTTATTATATTAATATAATGGCTTTTTCAACTTTAAGGGAGTTTTTTTCTGAGACAACAATAGACATGATCAATTTGCAAGAGCTCAAAACTCTAAAACTTTCACAAACACAATTTAATAAATCAAATGATATCTGCCCTATTTTCTGTCTCCATATTCCTTTTTGGATTGATTTCTAATGTTTTAAATATCTACATTAAAATTAGTAGGCTAGTTGTTACTTTTAACAATAAACAAAATCCTTCATTAATTCTATTCCTATAATAATTGTGTATTTGTGCATTGTGTTTATCACGGTAAAGCTGATTTGAAACAATCGTATAAAGCATAAATACAATTTGCCTGTACTGGATCGAATGTCAGTCCAAATTTTCACTTTAATCCACAACATGAAATCACATGATTAAAGATTATAGGATAAACTGACTAGGCTACTGAGCTGTAGCTGAGTAGGCACAATTAAGCTTCAGAGATAACTGAGAAAGGCGTTTAGAGTTTCAATAACATTCCAAAGATACCAATCCCACAAGAATGTTCTTTTACTGAACTGTTCACTTTTCCTCATTATCGCAAGTAATTGATCAGTAATATAAACTTGAGTAAGCCTCGCTTACGCTTTTATATATCAATTGGTTATAAAAGTAAGCGGTATAACCGCCTGACAAACCTAATACTAGTACTAGTAGCCTACGTGTGTGACGTTCAAGACGCTTTGTGCACCACTTTTATTGGAAGCGCGATTCGGTTCTTTCGAACAGATCATTTAAAGAGTCGGTTCAAAAACAAATTCAGTTCTTTTACGCCCTCGCACGTCATCATGTGTTGAATATTACGTCTAATATTGACAAATATAGACAGGCATTTTTTTCGATAGGACTTTATTCATATCGGTGCTTCTCACAGCCTGAAAATACGTAATTTAGCATTACATAAAAAATTGGGAGGAAAAGTAGCCTACACATACGGTTCAATTTTTTTTTTTTTTTTTTTTTTTTTTACAGTCTATGGCAGGGGTCTCAAACTCAAATTAACTGGGGGCCGCTGGAGATAGAGTCTGGGTCAGGCCGGGCCGCATCAAGTATCCCCCCCCCCAAAAAAAAATGTATTTAATAGGGCTGTGCAAAAGTTAATTGCGATTAATCGCATCCAAAATAAAAGTCTGTGTTTACATAGTATATTTGTGTGTGCTGTATATAATTATTTTGTATATATAAATACACACACATGCATGTATATGTTTAAGAAAATGTGTTATTCCTATATAAAATATTTATATTTATATAATATAGATTATGTATTTATATATATATATACAGAATTTAAGCGCAAATAATTCTTAAATATATACATGCATGCATAGGTATTTATATATACAAAATAATTATATACAGCACACTCAAATATATTATGTAAAACAGACTTTTATTTTGGATGCGATTAATCGCAATTAACTTTTGCACAGCCCTAGTATTTAAGTATTCCAAAAATGGAGCACAACTGATCCAATCTTCTCAATCTTTATTTTTAATGTTTCCTCTGAACTGTTCCTCTGAATTTGAACATTCCTTTCTGTACATGATTGGTTCTTCATGAGCTGTCCTTCGGACAGTTGGAGTTAATTTTACAAACTTTCTTTGTCTTTTTCTTATACACAACATCTTTGTTGTGATGATAGTCATATTTGCTTTTTATTTTCTTTATACAACACTATTATATTGAATTTTTTCCCCCAAAAGGCACATTTCCTTTTATTATACTTAGAAAAACAATTACTGCTTTTGAAATACAAATAATTCTTTCTACACATGTATAGTGTCTCAGGCAAATTACTGACTTTGCACATATCAAAGCAAACCTTCTTATCAACCTGTTGGACCAAGTTCATTACATGAACTAGTTCAAAGTTCAATTCACAAATTTTAAAATGAACTAGTTCTTTTTTTCCATATGTTGCTGCGAGCTTCTTTTTTATTATTAAGCAATTATTATTGCCACAGCCCATATACAACCACAGATAACAATCATTTTGTCGACGGGCAGAGTTTGCACAGACATGTAAGATTTTCCCATCCTCGCAGACCTCATAAAACCCTTTTTTAAATGATCTTTCGACGCCTCCTCGCTCCTCGGTTCACAAACACTTGAATGAACGAGTTCACTGTAACGTTCATCAGGCAGTAATACAGTAGGTTACGTTCAGTTCACGTTCGCCCAAAATATGAACGAGTTTATGAACTATCGTCATTGAACGCGTTCAGACACAACACATATTACAAGCTCAAAATGATTATTCTCACATTCATTGTTTTAGAGCAGGGTATCCAACACGTCGCTCGCGAGCTATCAGTAGCTGTGGCCTGATTTGGTGGTGGTAGCTCGCCTTATGCCTGTTCACATATCACGCTCACATATTTTGCACGCTCAAGTAGGTTTCAAATAGGCGCGCATCAAGCGCCGAGCGCGCTCATAATTGAAGCGACGCGCTCATTTTTTTCCAGGCGCAGTACTTCGTGGTTGTCTATGACAACTATTGACAACAAACCTACGGTAAGCTGTCACGAGACTACATATGGTAGCCCATAAGGGATAAAAACAATAATAATAAAAAAAACGCGGCAAACGCAACGGCTGGCCGCACTAACATTAAACTTTAATATCAAGTAGGGGGCCACAAAATATCATCCCGCGGGCCGCAAATGGCCCGCGGGCCGCGAGTTTGAGACCTCTGGTCTATGGGTTCAATGAGTCAGTTAACTTACTCCTTTTCTACCATATAGCCCGATATAGCCTTCTGAAATTATAAGAAAAGAGTTGATACTTGTTTGAATAGCCAATTAGTTGCTAACTCCAATTAAGTCCGAAATGGTTTTAAAAATTCCAAAAAGAACAACTCCATTATCTTATCAGAGTCTTATTTAATCGGAACTCAAGTTTTATTTGGGACATGCGTTAGAGATTTGTTTTCAACGACTCTTTGTAACCCGAGCCACCTTCTCCTTCTGACGGGGCAACACTCAAGACTACATTTCCCATGATGTAATGTTCTTTATTCTCTGTCTTGACCGACTTCTCCCTGCCTCCATAGGCCAGAGGAGGCTGAGTTTAGGGAAAGTATCGACGTTTATGCTTGTCAATCAGCAAGGAGCTGTTGGGAGTGAAACTGGAGGGAAGGTCGACGATCGGGGAGGATTTCTACTTTAAAAAAAGCACATCAGTGCGAATGCGACCATAATGTTTTGGAAAAACAAGGAAAAACTGTATATATTTTCAAGGAAACTGTTTTGTTTTACTTTGAAATAAGGTAATCAAGCAAAGCTTTCACTACGCCGAACTTGGCGACTATCACTCGCTGCCTCGTTGCATTCAGCTCGGAAAAAAGAAAACAGCGGATTATTTATACCGTGAAAGTGTGTAAACTAATAGGAGACTAAGCTACTGACGGATATTGCTGTTTAAATACAGTGCTTGATTTATTACTCTCGCCAGAGCAGAGGACTTCATCCAGAAGAGTTTGTAAGAGCCGACCGTGTCGCTGTCGGGAAGCTCTTCTCGTGTGGACGTGCTGGAGAAGACGGTACCAGGAGAGACGGTATTTATGTTTGTTTAATACATTACACGTACTAAAAACACTTAGGCGAATCTTCAACTTCATATTTTGGGACTTTGCTTTGATATGTTGCAGGTTGAAACACGAAACCCAAAGCGCGTATTTTCCTGGACGATTATAAGAAAATGAGCGGAGGAGATGTGGTGTGCTCGGGGTGGCTCAGAAAGTCTCCACCTGAAAAAAAGTTACGGCGTTATGTAAGTAATGTTTTAATCTTATTCAAATGCACTGACGGTGTTGTAACCGCAGGACTGTTGTGGCAAGATTCATGCAAATTTTTGGTACGCTTTCCAACAACCGCAGGTCAATCAGTGCTCGCGGTCTGTTGGTTAAGGCTTTTTCTTTCTAAAATTCAGAGGACCCGAGAAGTTTAAAACTTGTTTGGTTTCTCAAAAATAACTTGTGTGTGAACGTTGTTTGTGTTCACAGTTGTTTGTTTATTTCTCGAACATGTGTAAAATCCTAATTTATGGCGTCGGTGCTAGGACACACCTACCGGTGTGTTAGGAGAGAACTTTAGTTTTGTTTACTTACTTATTTTCTAAATAAATGATTTACACACAAATAAAGAGCATGTTTGAGAAATATGATAGTATAGCCTACAATGTTACTCTCACATGCTAGCCTTGCTAGAATTTTTTTTTCTACTTAAGAGAGGGTCATCCCCTCATGGGTGGCGCCATGTTAATATCACGTGACAAAATGTACATAGGTAAGAATAACAATACAAATATCTTGGTTGACTACATATCTAAATTCGTGTGTTCTTACCATAAAAGTAGATGCAATTCCTAGTGTGAGCAGAACCCATGATGGTCACAGCATTTGCACTTCAAAATGCCTCTGTCCAAAGCAGCCATTGCTGACTTAGTATATAATGTATAGCAATAAACTTCATGCATCCACGCCAGTAGTTAGCAGTCATAAGTCCAAAGCCTCTGCTACTACAGTTGGGAATGAATGAGAACCAGATAAGCATAAACCTAATGTTTATTGTTTTAATGGAATGTGGCTTGACCTGCATACACCACTGTTATGTCCAAATCTAAACACGTTTATGTTGTATGTACTCATGCAAAAATTGTTTGCTTCATTCTTTTATGCTGCAGACTCTGTAAATAATGTGTGTGGTTTGCTTAAATTCTTTGCAGAATGGATCTTTTAAAATCAAATGACAACATTTAAGTGCGTTTCAAGACAAAAGCTATTGTTATATTGTTGACATGCATCAAGGTTGTACAAAACAGTGCTGATTCAGATAGACTGATAGACTCATAATTTAGATTGATTTTAATGCTAAATATTCATTTTTAATTTTAATTGTTTTTTAACTGCTTTCACCAGGCAATGACCATCACACGAAATACTGTCTCCTTGATCTTGTGTTTTCCAAATGTTTTCTTTAGTTTCATATTAAATACATTGTCATATTTCATTTTCAAGGATGTTTTTGGAATATTTATTTTTCACTAAATCACATGAAAAGACGACTTTGTTTGCTGCTACTTCAGTTGCTAAGACAACTGAACTTAACTCTCCTTTCTGTCTTCTCTGGATGAGTCAATGCATTTAGTCATTCACACATTGCATGTGTACCATGGGGTCTTCCCTTCCTCTTAGTGGTAATATACACCAATAATCTGTAATGAAATCACTCACTTACAGCTCTGCCCGCTATCGAGCTCCAACCAAACATGTTAGAAATCACCTCCAGGCTCATGTGATGCTTTTTTATTGGATTCCTTTAATCTAGTGGAGGTCTGCAAGGAACATTGCTTTTAAATTCATGTCTTACCTCATTTTACAATCAGCAACACAGTTTAGTCTCAAAAAGCCAAGGCATTTGCAAAAGTGGGATATTTGGCATGCTTTGCCTTCCCAGTGTTAAAAGGAACTTCTACTTCTAACAACCAATGCATAATAACAACTTGTTGTTATTGCATATAAGCAATAACAACTAATCCTTGTAGCTAATGCATTAAAGTGCAAAGGCTTGAGAGACAGGGTGTGATTTCACATGTTTTGTGCTTTCAGAGTAAACGGTAGTCTGTTGAATGTGATGAACAATGTTTCATGCCTCCAAATCGAATTAAAATGATTTCTGTGCTCATCCACACAATGCTATAATAAGATTAGATCCAAGCAAGAACAAGTGCTTTGTTTTACCACAGCATGTTCTCAGAACAGAAGTCATTTTTAGATTTCATTTTGTTTGAGGGGGATTTATGCAAAGTGATGCTGGACTAAAGCCTTTGCCATAGTTTGCATCATATAACTTATTTATTTTTTGTTTTGTTTTGTTTTTTAAGAGTAAGATAACAGAAACTACACTCTTTCCTGTTGCAGTCGTTTTGCAGTGCTGTCCTCAATATTAGTCTTGTTTTCTGGTGCATGAAGGTGGAGTGGTCTCAAAGTATCACATGTGGCGCTTTGAAAGTGGCTGATTTGGACCAGACTGTTTTTATTGGAGCTGAGTGGCTAATAACTAAAATGCTTCTCTCCAAGAGGAGCCTCATGCCAGGTGAAGGCCTATAGACTGTATGTGTGTTTGACCAGTTATATTTTTATCAACATAAGTTCTAATTTAAGATGCATATCGAAAAGTTTTGTGCTTTGATTGCATTGGACGGTGCTGGGAGCCTGTAGGCTATTTTTTTTATTTATTTTCATTTTTTATGTCACTTGTAGACATCCTACAAAAATGTAGACTACCTACCATTCAAGTTTGGGGTCTAATAGTCTTTTGAACTTTCTATTTGTGAAACAATCCTGAAAAAGTTTTCGCAAAAAAATAAAGTAGCACACCTTTATTCCAGATTTGATAATAATACGAAATGTTTCTTGAGCACCAAATAGCATATTCGAATAATTTCTGAAGAATCATGTGACCCTGAAGACTGGAGCAATGATGCTAAAAATTCAGCTTTGCCACAATAAGAATATATTACATTTTAAAATAAATTCAAATAGAAAGTTCTAAATCTATTATTGATTTCAAATTTTCTATTTGAATTTATTTTAAAATGTTCAGAATATTAATGTTTTTACAGTATTTTTGATTAAATAAATAAATAAATAAATAAATTCAGCCTTGGTGCACATAAGATGGTTAAAAAAACCTTGGCTATCAAAACTTTGAGTGAGTGTCTTTCAAAATCCATTGTTTATGAACTCTCATTCTGTGCGGTCTTATGTCTAAATTAAATTGAGTCTTTGAAGATTATTTTTAGGTAGCTCATATCATGATTGAAACACTACTGAAACAGCAGAAAGACATGAAACCCGCAGCCTCAAAACAGAATACACTAAAAAGATGGCTATTATTTGCATTAGAACCAGCTGGAAATTTGAATGCTTTGGACATGTTCTGGAATCATAGAGATTGCACAATAGCACTTTGTTTCATTGTCTGAAGGTTGTCTAGCTTCTTCCAATTATTTTTTGCATTTTCTATTCTAAATCATATCTTTGTTAAGACTAAATGAAAACAATTGATCAGCTGACTTATCTGAGAAGTTCATTGCACATGCTCTGGATCCTCTAGCGCTGTGAAGCTTTTAGTGGCATAGGGTCAAAAGTCTGATATGTTTTTGACGGTTTGGCTGCAGTTCAAGAGCAGAGGAAATCATTTGACTCGACTGTTTGCAGGGAATGCTCTTTATGACTCAAAGTGCACAGTGCTTTATTGAGGGTCTTCTCAGACAGGTAACTAGCTAGAATAGCAGTAGTATATTATAGTTATAGTATAAGTGCCTACACAAGTGCCTTTTTTCTTTAAGCCCGGTCCATGTGGGTCATCTGACTGGTGGCATGAGAATTTTATAAGCTATTAATCCCACATTAGCCACACAGCATTGCTCAAACTGGACTCTTACGTCTGTTGAAAATGTCCATGCGGGCTCATTTTTTAGTGTCTTAGCATTTTCCATTAGGCCTCATCCTCTCTTCTTTGTTAACTTCTTCTTTCGCACCCTTCTCATAATGCTTGAAGAGACTAATTGTGAAACCACCAAATGAAGTTAGGAACACATGTCCGATATGGTAGAGTAATGTGGGAACTCACATTGAAGTCTGAAGTATTAATAATACTCACTTCTGCTATTGAGACCATGTCATCTCATCGTTCATGTGATTTTTCTCTAAGCTCATCTGGAATGTTGCCTATTTGCTTATAGGGCTGTGGCATTAATCCAAGTTAAGTTTTGATTTTGGCTTACTTCGATTATGTAAATGTGATTAATCGAGATGGAACAATTATTGTGGCCTAATTAAATGGTAAAATGCACGATAAAGTATGTCAAAATCCGGGGCTTGGCGAGTCTCCACATAAACCCAATCTGTTGTTTGTACTAAAAGTTGATTGTACTGAAATGTGTGTTGGCAGTGCCTGTACACGACCATCATATAATGATAAAAATCTATTCAGTGTTTTTGTTTTAATCTTGTGTGTTTTCCACTTTCTGAAATTGAGCCATTCGATTTTGTGAAGTCACACGGTCAGACGCCCCTCCCACGATTGTTGATTGACAGCAGCGTTTCGAAACATCCCCGTCCTGAGCGAGCAGTCATCATAGTCTGTCATTGTTGATACGCTGGAGCAGAATAGCGTCTTATCGATTGTGGTGATCTGTTCTTGGGCGTAATAACGAACACGGCAGTTATTTTGATGCTCCTAAATCCGAAGGAAATCCGAAATCCGCTAAGGACGTAGTGGCTGAGTTTTGTTTTCAAAGGGAATATTCCCTATGATCAATGTCAATGCTTATGTTTACGCAAATCTTTTCTCGTCAGACTGCTTTATAAATTAGCATAAAGCTGGCATGCTTAGAGGCTGCTCCTAAAAAAAAAAGAATTGATACCAACTATTCATGTTTCTGCTGAACCTCCAGAAGAAGTGAGTGTAAAATTGTATTAACCTTTATAATAATTTTGCAAATTGTTTGGACACTTCACTATGAATGCGGCTAAGGTGTAGGTGCACTCAGGGTACATTACGGCATGTTTTCTATGTACGATGTTCTCAATATAATTCATAATCCCACGTTTATTATGAACAACGCGTTATGGTTACTGTCAAGTCAAGTCACATTTATTTATATAGCGCTTTTCACAATACAGATTGTATCAAAGCAGCTTCACAGTGATAACATGAAAGTAGCACAACACAGATCAACAACATTGCTAAACACTAAATAAC